GGGGGTTGAGATCACGCACTCTGCAAATGAGAATGTGATGTCCCGTTGATTAGGACTGCCATCATTGAGGAGGGAGGAATCAGTAGGAATGACAGGTAGAGCATGTCGGTATGCTCCAGGGTCCCCTGGAACTGGGACTTGGAATCAGGGTAAAGCCTCTGTGCAGAGGGCTCTGCCCTGAGGAATTGCTGGTGTGGATGCTACCACACCTCTCCTCTGACACTTGCAGCAGAAAAAGCCAGGGGCGAGGTGATGCTGAGGAACTGCAGCTTCAGGAGTCCACCTCAGACTTTTCCAGTCCAGACAGAGCAAGGAGGCCCAATGGGCCATCCCTGACAAGCTCTGTTCTCCAAAGGTTCTGTCTCTGGACACGAACATCACAAACCAGGTGAACAAATTGAACCGGGATCTGCTTCGTCTGGTGGACGTTGGCGAGTTCTCGGAGGAGGCACAGTTCCGAGACCCTTGCCGTTCCTACGTGCTCCCTGAGGTCATCTGCCGCAGCTGTAACTTCTGCCGGGACCTGGACCTGTGCAAAGAGTTCACCTTCTCGCAGGTGGGCAGTCGCTGGGTTCTTGCGCTCGCATTGGGTGGGAGGTGCTGCCGCACCCACTGTTGAGCTTCTGCTAGTTGTGACATAAAAGGCACTCACTGGCCTTGAGGACAATAGAAGACTGACCTGGCCCTGTCCTCCTCTGCCTAGGATGGGGCCGTGCTGCCTCAGTGGCTCTGCTCAAACTGTCAGGTTGCCTATGACACCTCAGTCATCGAGATGGCCCTGGTGGAAGCCCTGCAGAAGAAACTGATGGCCTTCACTCTGCAGGACCTGGTGAGCCTGATGGACCTGGCCTGCCCTCCAGTCGGCAGAGGGCTTTTTTTTTTTTTTTTAAAGATTTTATGCATTTACTCATGAGACACACACACAGAGAGGCGGAGACAAAGGCAGAGGGAGAAGCAGGCTCCATGCAGGGACCCTGACATTGGACTCGATCCTGGGTCTCCAGGATCACGCCCTGGCCTGGGCGGAAGGCAGCACTAAACTGCTGAGCCACCTGGGCTGCCCCAGAGGGCTTCTTAATAAGTAGTTTGCACCCGTGAGAAACTATGGGTTTGCACACTTCTCAAGTCACAACCCAGTCCTCTGAGGACTGACCATCCCTTGGTTCAGGCATTGTCCTCGTGATTCATTCTCCTGGTGTCGTTGGGGTTCCTGCAGGGGCCAGGTGCTGGCTATGTGGACTTCTCATAGTGGGAGGGGATAGCAAGCAAGGTAGAGTGTGTGTCATGGTAAGTGTCAAGAGAACGGGATGGGGGAGAGAGAGACAGGGGTATTCTCACTGAGAGGAGACATCTGAGCAGAGATCTGAGGGGGTGTGATGGAATGGGGAGGCCCAAGGGAGGAGCACGGGTGAGGGAGCAGAGTGAATGCAGCACCCTCAGTGATGGTGTTAGGAAGGAAGCAAATAGCGCATTTGGATAAAGCCTACTGCAAAATCTTGAATTTTATTCATAGTTGAGCTAAAGGCCATGGCGGTGGAGAGCAGGGAGGGCCTGTCAAGTGAAAGTGCTGAGCTGCTGACCACTGCTGGCTGTTACCATTACTGGCCTAGGCTGGGGAGACTCCTGACCAGGACTGCTCCTCATTGCAGATCTGCCTGAAGTGCCGAGGTGTGAAGGAGACCAACATGCCTGTGTACTGCAGCTGCGCCGGGGGCTTTACCCTCACCATCCACACCAAGGTGGGGGCTCCACAGCCAGCTAGCTCTGCAGCCCTTTACCATTTTCCTTTATCTGCTTCTTTCTCTACGTATGGGGCCTCTGCCGTGCTTCCCTGTTCCTCCTCTGGAACCAGGTCTCACTGTCTCACTGTGATGGGTCATTTCTGCAGGTCTTCATGGAGCAGATTAGAATCTTCCAGAACATTGCCCAGCACTATGGCATGTCCTACCTCACAGAGGCCCTGGAGTGGCTGCTGCAGAAGAACCCTCAGCTGGGCCACTAGCACCGTGAGCAGCATTCCCGTTCTCTGCCCTGACTTCCCAAACTTGTCACCTTGTCTGGGATGGAGCACCAAGGAAAATAAGCCCCAGGAAAATAAGCTTCGGGGAGCAGGTCACATGGCTCCGGAGAGGCCTGACCTAACCAGTGCAGGAAGCGGCTCCATCTCTGGGTTCCCTGGGCCTCCAGCTGTGGTCAGGCCATCCATGTCAGGCCTGACAAGGGAGGGGCCCCACCACTGTCTTGCTGAATAAACAGTCCTCCCTGCAGCCCTGCCCTCCTACCCTCTCCACTGCTGTTTCAGCGGGGCAGGGTTGGGGGGGGAGGGGTTGTCTTGTCTGTGCAGAGTCCTTGAGGGTAGGTGGGTCTAGTGATGCCTAGGGAGTCTGCGGCCCCTGGCCCATGTTTTCTGATCACTTGTTACCACGGAGAACATGTCCTGGGGCTTGACGTCAGCAGGATTTGGGCCATTTCCAGGTACTCCAGAACCGAAACCTGTGGGGACCTGTATGTTTTTCGCACGATGAGTTCCCGAGACTTGGGCTTCTTGTCTGGAAACTTCATGGACAGAGTAGGGTCTACAGGAGCAGTCCCCTTGTCTGCAGCACCCCTACCCTCTGATGCATCTATGCTGTGACAAGTGCCCTCCAGGTCCAAGCGCTGCTCCCAGACTAGCAGAGAGCCAGAGGGCCCAGTGGGGGAGGCAGGTGCACACTGTCTATTGCAGACTTGAATGTCATCAAGTGTTAGCACCTGGGTTTAAGGAAAACATTTCTTTCCATGAAGACTTCAAGTTTTTTCCTTCAGCTCTGAGGGATCTGTGTCTGGGGAGAGACAGGAGAAACACAACAGCAGCAATTTTGTGGGGGTTGAGCAGTTCCATTCTGGCTTCTCAGCCTTAGGGATTGGTCCAAGCCCTCTTTCCCTGGTGAGGCCAGCCCGGCTTCCAGAGGCCAAGTGGTCCATAGATCTGGGACCTGAGGGGATCCCTGGGTGGCGCAGCAGTTTAGCGCCTGCCTTTGGCCCAGGGCGCGATCCTGGAAACCCGGGATCAAATCCCACGTCAGGCTCCCGGTGCATGGAGCCTGCTTCTCCCTCTGCCTATGTCTCTGCCTCTCTCTCTCTCTCTCTCTCTCTCTCTCTCTCTCTCTGTGTGTGACTATCGTAAATAAATAAAAATCTTAAAAAATAAATAAAAGATCTGGGACCTGATGCTGTGCTCTCCCCGTGGGTGGGGCTGGGCAAGGGGAGGAGCCCCAGGCCTGGCGGAGGGAGGGTCTGCCCTTCAGTGACCCCAAGAAGACTGCTGAGCATCTGCTTCCGCTGTTGTTTCGTCAACCCCAGAAGACCAACTCCACGCTTCGTTTTTAACTAGATGAGACTGGAAGCAGAAAAGGAACAGTGGAGTTGGCAAGGCAACAAGCAGGCTAAGTGAGTCCTTTGCTCAGACCCCAAATGGGCAGCCCCAGGGGAAGCCCTGGGTGAGCCCCCAGGCTGCTGTTGGCGCTGCATCCACCAAAAATTCACCCTTGTTGCCCGACTTCTCAATATTACACTGCACTTGGAACTCTCATTTTACTCTTTGAAGTTTACGTTTCTTAAAATTTTACGTGTGTGTGTGTGTGCAAGGTGTCTGTCTCTACAAGGATAGAAGGAAGAGTAGCTACCATCTGTCCAGCTGGGTGCATTGGCCCCTGGGTCCTGTGCATGGGTGTGTCTAGGCCCCGTGGCCATGAGAAACTTGACACTGGCTGGAAGGTGGACAGAGGCTGCATCAGCCCCCAGATGGAGATCAAATCAAATTAGGGCTAGGTGGTGGGGGAGGGGCACTAACTAGGCTTCCTGGAAACAAAGCCAGGGAAGTCCCAGGGGGTGGGGGTGGGGCTGGGGACCTGGACACTGCACCGTGTGTCCCTGCAGCAGGGCTCGGGCATTTGGGGTGGGGTAGCTGTGGGCCCCAGGATCACTCTCATGCTTGGGAATGGGAAACCTGAACCCTGGCCACAGTCCTTGAATCACAGTCCAGCCCTGACTGGAAAAGCCAGTTTCTCCAAAGCTAGAGCTGGATGTCAGCAAGCCCGACACCTAGGATGTTGCAGGCTTTGGATGACCGTGGAGTTACCACCTCAAGGATGGGAGGGTCTCTACAGGATGCCAGGCGGAGGCTTCTCAGATGTGTTCTTGCTGGCCGGGTTGGGTGTGGGCAGGTGGAAGGGCTAGCTCTGGCCACTTGCTAGTGCCGCTTGAACTTGGGGACTCAGGCTGGGCAGGGTCTGAGCCTTCACTGGACCTTAGAAGTGACCGGATCCCAGCTGAGGTGATGTGTGCAAAGCATGACCCATGCTGCCTCAGAACTGTGTACTTGCCATCCCTGTTGCTAGGAAACCGCCGTCCAAGTTCTGGCAGCCCCTCAAGTGGGGGCTTGACCAGGCAGGCACCAAGCAGGGATGCTGAATGTAATGACGGCTGTTGTCTCTGAGGGTGTGGTGACCAGTTATCTGCAGGCCTGGCCAGCTGGTGCCAACATGTGTGCCTCTTCACCCTGGCCCACCTTCTCCATCCCCCTGACCAGCACTAAATTCCTGCCCTGCCCAGGCCCTGCTTTAAGTGGGGCCTGGGCAGCTTGTACAGGTATTTGAAGCAAGAGCCAGTGTTTGCCTTAGCATGACTCTCCTCGTCTCCCTGGCCTCCCTCCTCCAGAGCCCCCATCCTTTCCCATGTTTTGGGTCTGGGGTGAGAGCTCCTGCCCCCAGGAGGCTGGTAAGCCACCTGAACCGTAGGCGCTGGGACGAGTCTGAGTTCCTCATGCACTGTCTGAGCCCAGCCCCTTGGCCCTGCTGCTGACCTTACCATGACCTGGCTGGACGTGGGGGCAAACATGCCTGTGTGCCGGGCTGGGGAGACAGGGCCAGAGGCGTCCACTGCCCCCACGGCAAGGATCCTCTACTACATGTTTGTATTCAGGGCCTCAAGATGCTTTTACTAAAAAATGAGGCCAGAGCTTCTGGTCACAGGTTTATTGGATTCTGGATGTGTGATTTCTTGGCCATGAAGCAAGCAGAGAGCCCGGGTGGGGAGGGGTAAGAGGCCTGTGAGGAAGTCAGGGGAGAAGGAGGCAGGAATCTGCCCCTCCCTCCAGGCCCAGGGACACGGCCAGGGTCTGGGTGCCACCCATTTCTGTCAGCGCATCACCCGGTTGCACGGGGATCTTTGGGTTCCTGGTCTCCATGGGCTACCAGGGAAGTGCAGACACCAGGGACCCCCCAGGTGGGGCCTTGCTCAAGCAGCAGGATGGAGAGTGTGTGGTGGGCTCAGAGCTGGGCCAGACCTCGGGGATCTGCGAGTGTGGAGTCCTGCCGGGGAGGCTCGGAGGCGCACAGCTGTGGTCCAGTGGTCTGCTCGGGAGTATCCACCATCTGCTTGGGTGGGGGCGGGACAGCCAGAGCTTGGCAGGCCTGGCTGGGGTCTGCAGGGCAGGGAGGGACTGGGGGAGGGGCCTGGCCCAAAACCAGAGCCAGAGTCACCGGCCAGCTACCAGGGGGCTGTCTGGGTGCGCACACCTTGTCGAATTTCTTATGGCTGTACACCTTGTTTTTGTTCATGAACGTCAGCAAGATCCAGTCACACAGGAAGGAGCCCTGGGCCAGCGAGACCCACGTGTGAAGGCCAGGGCAACACCCTCCTCCCAGCCACCCCCACCAAGACCCCCATGCCCAGCATGTATTTCCTTACCACTCCAATGGAAGTCAGTGCTGTGGCCAGATTAATGATGGTGGGAATCAGGCTGAACTTCCCTGCCTTGGGAGGGGAGGCTGCCTTAGGCGGTTGTGGGGTCAGGGGCACATGGGACTCAAGGGAGAATGAGGGAGACGGGACAAGCCAGCTCAGTTCTGGGCCTGCTGGAACCCGGGCTGCTTTACCTGTCCATGCACAATGACATCAATGCGGATCCCATAGGCCTTGATGAGTGTGCGGGTTGTGCTGCTGTTTGTCTTGTAATATTTGGCAAACCTGGAAAAGAACGACCCTGAGGAGCATGGCGGTGGGTGCCCACTCATCACCTGAGATGAGAAGCTGCAAGACCCCACCAGCCCCTGGCCCTGTTATGTTGGAGCTACTGCAGCAGGGCCGGTGAGGACCCTGCCCTCCCAAGGCTGTTACCTGAAGTTGTAGCCAGACGAGGCTGGGACGTGCTTGGGGTCGAGCCTTCGGAAGGAGTATTTGGGGTTGCATTTTGACGCCGGCAGGTCCAGGTCACAGTCCCAGTTGATGACGACTCCAATGACGCCACCCTGCCAAGAAGTGGGCACAGAGACGGGTGTTAGGGAAGGACCCTCAAGAGCCAGGGGGTGCTCATCTCTGGGCACCTGGGGCAAGTCAGGGCCGAGCCAGGAGTGCTGGGGGAGTGTCCTCTGCTTCTTTTTTTTTTTTTTAAACATTTTTTAAGGTATTTATTTATTTATGATAGTCACAGAGAGAGAGAGAGAGAGGGTGGCAGAGACACAGGCAGAGGGAGAAGCAGGCTCCATGCACCGGGAGCCCGACGTGGGATTCGATCCCGGGTCTCCAGGATCGCGCCCTGGGCCAAAGGCAGGCGCCAAACCACTGCGCCACCCAGGGATCCCCGTGTCCTCTGCTTCTGAAGCATGAGGGGACACCAGTGGCCAGCTGTGTGACCAGGAGTCAATAATTCAGCAGGAGCCCTGCACACCCTGCACGATCGGGGTGGCCGATCATGTTTCTCTCCTCTGCCTGAACAGCGCCAAGGCTGGCAGACCCTTGGTCTACAAGTGGGAACCAGCACCTGGTCGGAGGGCTGGTCCACCCACTCCCCCTCTGCTGCCCCCTCACCGTATGTGCCAGCTCCGTGAAGTTCTCCCCTGCTTGCTCCACAATGAAGCCCAGCTTGAAGATGGGACAGTAGAGGTCAGAGACCTCATCGAATGTGCAGTGTCCCAGGTAGCCATCCTTGCGGTGCTCTATGTTGCCCCTGGGGACAACATCAGGTCGGGGAGGAGCAGAAGCTCTGTGCCCACACACCCCACATTCCCAGGAGGCAGCTCCCATCCCTGGCCCGTTGTCACCATACCCTAGCGGCTCTTACTTGGAGAACTGGAATTTAGGGTAGTGGATGCTGTTCTTGATGAGGATGGTGAAATTTGGGGCCATCTTGCCGAGAAACTGGCTGAGGAGGCACAGACTGGGTGTGTTTAGGGTTCCCGCCCCAGCCCCCCTCCCCAGCACATCCCAGCTCTGGTCACTGAGGTGAGAAAGGAGCAGAGTAGTCGTGCTGGGGTGTCCGCTGGGTCCCAGGGAGGTGGGGTCACCGGGTGCGCACACCTGACAGAGGCCCCATCTTCCACTGGGCACCAGCCAGACACTTCGCAGGTCTTGGCTGAGCCTTGGTAGTAGGGTACACAGCGCCCGGTCCGCAGGCCTGTGGGCAGACGTGGGCTCAGGGGCTGAGGGGTGAGGCCCTGCCCCACCCCAGGGCCAGCATGCACTAACCGTTTCCCAGCATGTCCAGCTGCCCCGACACACAGTCCTCGTCCAAGTCACAGGTGGCGTCGCGGACCCTCACACTCTAGGGAGGAGCCCGCTTGGTGAGAAGCCCCGCACCTCCTGGGCAGGGTCCCCTCCGTCCCCGCCGTCCCCCGCCGTCCCCCCCCGTCCCCCCCCCCGGCGTGGCCCCCCTCCCAGCCTCACCTCTGGGCAGTTTCCGAGGGTCTGGGAGGCTGTGACCTCGATCCTGGTGATGATGCTGAACACGCTGCCTCCCTGGGCTCAGAAAGAGGGGATGGTCGGCCACGGCGGGCGGCGCAGTCACCCCTCGCTCCTTCCCAGGGGCGCGCGGGGCGCGCGAGCGCACCTCGGGGGGCTTCACGTACTCCTCCACGTCCCACACTTTGTGCTCGGAGTAGGTGATGCCCTTGACCTTGGTGATGACGGAGCTCTCGGGGCCCGTCTCGCGGTCCTGGTAGCTCTTCTGCACGATGAGCACGTACCTGCGGGACGGGCGGGGCCGCTCTGGGGGCGCCCCGGGGGGACCCTGCCCCGCCGGCCGCCGCCGCTCCAGGCCCCCGGCCCCGGCCCCGGCCCCCGCGCCCCGGCCCCGGCCCCCGCGCCCCGGCCCCCGCGCCCCGCCACACCCACCACACGAAGTAGAGCAGGAGCAGCAGCTGGACCGCGCGGTACGCGACGCCCAGGCGCCGGTTCTTCACCACGATCACCTTGGGCGTCTCGTAGTCCCAGAGAGCAGACCAGCAGCCCCCGGCCAGGCGCCGGGCCGCGTCCGCTCCCGCCGGGGGCTTGGGCTCCGCGGCCGCCATGGCCCGGAGCTCCGCCCGGGGCCGGAGGCGGCGCGCACCCTGCGGGTAGGGGCGCGGGCAGGGGAGCCCCGCGGCGCCGCCCCGGGGCGTGGCCTGGCGCGCCCCGCCCCGCCCACCCGCCGGGGGCCGCGCAGGGCTTGGCGCGCGCAGGGGCCTACCTGGCGGGGGCGGCCCAGGTGGGCCCGGAGCGGGGGGGGGCGGGGGGGCGGGGGGGGCCTCGGGGAGATGCGGGCCACGTCCCCCGCGGCTCCGAGCGCCGCGCGCACCCAGCGGGAGGCAGCCCCGGGCACGCGCTGTTCCCGGCTTTGTCGACGTGCAACACGCGTGAGACACCGCGTTGGGCTAAGGTCTACGCGCGGGTCTCCCGAGGCCGGTCCGTGGCCCCCGCCCGCCTTCACGTCCCGGCGGATCGCCGCAGCCCCGGGGCTCGCTCTTGGCCCGAACAACCGTCGGCTTCATCTCCGGACGCGCTCAGAGCTCCCGGGTTCAAGCCCCTGCTCCCTCCGCCCGAGCGTCCGACCCGCGCGTCTACCCAGCTGGCTCCCAGCTCTGCGTGTAGCCACGTCCAATCCGTTTGTCTTCTTTGCGACCAAAGTTGATGTTGTTGTTGTTGTTGTTGTTTTTTTAATTGGTCCTCGTTGTGTCTTCACCCCATTTCATTATTTTGGAGCAAATCCCAGACATCATAGTATTTCGCAAAATGACAGATTTCTTACTTTAGTTAGGTGAAATTTACTTAGCCTCCGATTGACCGTCTTAACGAACAATTGTTTAATGAACAGTTGAACACTGTTGTGCGACCATCGTCATGTACTTCTAAGATATTTAGATTTTTTTATTTTATTTATTTATTTATTTATTTATTTATTTATTTATTTATTTACGATCGTCATACAAAGAGAGCGAGAGAGGCAGAGACACAGGCAGAGGGAGAAGCAGGCTCCATGCACCGGGAGCCCGACGTGGGACTCGATCCCGGGTCTCCAGGATCACACCCTGGGCCAAAGGCAGGCGCCAAACCGCTGCGCCACCCAGGGATCCCCCTACTTTTTTTTTTTTTTTAAAGAGGGGGAGGCTTTTTTTTTAATTTTTATTTATTTATGATAGTCACAGAGAGAAAGAGAGGCAGAGACACAGGCAGAGGGAGAAGCAGGCTCCATGCACCGGGAGCCCGACGTGGGATTCGATCCCGGGTCTCCAGGATCGTGCCCTGGGCCAAAGGCAGGCGCCAAACCGCTGCGCCACCCAGGGATTCCCCTACTTCTAAAATATTTATACCGTTCGCAAATAAACTCCCTGTTTCCCCCTCCTCCCACGCACTGGCAACCACCAATCTCCTTGCTGCGGATTCATCTCTTTGGTATATTTCATATAACGGAATCATATGCTATTTTTCATTTTGTGTCTGCGATCTATCACCGGGCATAATGTTTCCAAGGTCCATCCAGGTTGTAGCATGTATCAATACTTTTTTTTTAATTTACTTTATTTATGATAGTCACAGAGAGAGCGAGAGAGGCAGAGACACAGGCAGAGGGAGAAGCAGGCTCCATGCAGGGAGCCCGACGCGGGACTCGATCCCGGGTCTCCAGGATCGCGCCCTGGGCCAAAGGCAGGCGCCAAACCGCTGAGCCACCCAGGGATCCCGCATGTATCAATCCTTAATTCCTTTTTGTGGAAGAATAATTCCAGTGAGTGGTGATTTCACAACTTACTCATCTTTTGATAGATGTTTGGGTGTTTCCACCTTTGGCTATTGTGGTGTTAGGAACATTTGCGTACAGGTATTTGAACACCTGTTTTCAATTCTTTGGGGGTATAGGAGTAGGGTTTCTGGGTCATATGGTAATTCTGCGTTTCACTTTTTGAGGAACCCCTATACCATTTTCCAAGCAGCTGAACCACTTTATGTTCCAGTCAGCAGTGTATCAGGGCTCCAGTACTTGCACATCCTTGTCAACACTTGTTAGTTTCTGCTCATTTAGTCATTGCCATTCTAGTGGGGGAAATGGTATGTGTTTGGATACGTTTCTACTTAATCTTCTGCCAATTTTAAAATTAGATTTGCCTTTTTGTTGTTGGTTTGTAACAATTCTCCGTATATTCTGGACACGAGGCCCTTGTCAAATACATGATTTGCAAGTATTTTCTCCCATTGGGGGCCATCTTTTCACTGTCTTGGTCATGTTCTTTGAGGCACAAAAGTCTTTAATTTCAACAAGATCAGTTTGTCTATTTTTTTCTTTTGTTGCTTGCATCTCTGGTGTCATTTCTAAGAATCTATTATCGATTACTAAATCCAAATTTATTGGGATCCCTGGGTGGCACAGCGGTTTAGCGCCTGCCTTTGGCCCAGGGCGTGATCCTGGAGACCCGGGATCGAATCCCACGTCAGGCTCCCGGTGCATGGAGCCTGCATCTCCCTCTGCCTGTGTCTCTGCCTCTCTCTCTCTCTGTGTGTGACTATCGTAAATAAATAAAAATCTAAAAAAATAAATAAATCCAAATTTATTTACAGGTTCAGTACAATCCCTATCAAAGTTACAGGTGCAGAAATGGATACACTGATCCTAAAATTCATATGGAAATGCAAGGGACCTGGAGTTGCCAAAATAATCTTGAAAAAGAAAAAGAAGTGGAAGACTTATACTTTCCAAGTTCAAACCTTACTACAAAGCTATAGTAATCAAGACAAGTTACTGTAGGATCTAGCAATTCCACTCTCATTGACATAAAGGTAGAAATGCAGATCTATGGAATTGAACTGAGAGCCAAGAAGTGAAATATAAATATGTAAAATAGAATAAAACAAATTGATTTTTTTAATTTTTACATGTATATAATTTATTAATATTATAGTAACAAACTGATTTTTAACAAGTACCAAAATAATTTAATGGGGAAAGAGTAGTCTTTCAACAAATAGTCCTAGGAATTTGGGTTTCCACATGCAAAAGAATGAACTTAGACCCCCTACCTCATACCATATACAGAAACTAACTCAAAATGCATCAAGGACTTGAATGTAAGAACTAAAAGCATAAAACTCTTAGAAGAAAACATGGGAGTAAACATTTATGTCCTTAGATTTGAAAATGGAAGGCACCTTGGTGGTTCAGTGGTTGAGTATCTGCCTTTGGCTCAGGTCGTGATCCTGGGGTCCTGAGATCTAGTCACATATCAGGCTCCCTGCAAGAAGCCTGCTTCTCCCTCTGCCTATGTCTCTGCTTCTCTCTGTATCTCTCATGAATAAATAAATAAAATCTTTTTAAAAATTAAAAAAAAAAAAGAAAAGATTTGGTTGGGGGATGCCTGGGTGGCTCAACAGTTTGGCACCTGCCTTTGGACTGGGGCATGATCCTGGGGTCCCGGGATGGAGTCCTGCATTGAGCTCCCTGCATGGAGCCTGCTTCTCCCTCTGTGTCTCTGCCTCTCTCTCTCTCTCTCTCTCTCTCTCTCATGAATAGATAAATAAAATTAAAAATATATATATTTGTTGGGACGCCTGAATGGCTCAGTGGTTGAGTGTCTGCCTTTGGCTTAGAGCATGATGCCGGAGTCCCAGGATTGAGTTCTGCATTGGGCTCCCCAAAGAACCTGCTTCTGCCTCTGCCTATGTCTCTGCCTCTCTCTGTGTGTCTCTCATGAATAAATAAACAAAATCTTAAAAAAAAAAGATTTGGCAATGGATTCTTATAAATTACAACAAAGATTTAAACAAAGAAATAGATAAACTGGACTTCACCAAAATTAACAACTGTGCTTCGAAGGATGCCACTGAGAAAGTGAAAACACCCACAGAATGGGAGAAAATATTTGCAAATCACATATATGATAAGGATTTGTATCTTAAAAAAACAACCCTCTTATAATGATGATGAATAATGGATTAAAAAATGGGCAAAGTTAAAAAAAAAAGGGCAAAGTATCTGAATAGAAATTTTTCCAAAGAAGATACACAAATGGCCCATAAGTACATGAAAAAACTCTCGACATCATTAGTCAGGAGGAAGATATCACTACATACCACCGGGAAAGACATCCAGCATTGTTGGAAAGGAGGTGGGAAAATCACATTCTTCTTACATCTGATGGGAATGTAGATATGCTGCAGCCACTGTGGAAAACTGTGTGGCAGCATATCAAAAGATTTGAACCTAGAGTTATCACAGGATCCACAATTCTACCTTTAGGTGGAAATGAAATGAAATGAAAACATGTTCTCATGCAGAAACTTGTACATAAGTGTTCATAGCATCATACATAATGACGAAGATTGGAAGCAGCCTGAACGTCTATCAACTGATGAATGAATAAATAATACATGGTATATCCATACAATGAAACAGAACTCTGCGATAAATAGAATAAAGTACCTGATATGTGCCATATGTTACAACATAGGTGAGCCTAGAAAACATTATGCTAGTGAAACATTATGCTAGTCCCTGAAGGCCACCTGTTGTATGAGTCCACTTATATAAAACATCCAAAATAGGCAAATCCATAGAGAGGAAAGCACATTAGTGGTGCCAGGGGCTGGGTAAGGGGGGCAGCAAGTACAGACTACAGGGTCGTGGTGCTGCCTGGGTGCGTGGTGGGATGGGCCACTGCTCCCTGTTGCCTATGGCCTGGGGATGACAGAGACCCTGCCCCCAGACCTGCAGATGTTGGTGTTGGCAGAGAGGGTCTCTATGCCTTAGAAGGGGGTGCCTGGTGAGTATGTGTCCCTTAGGAGCACAGGGTCCATGGCTTTCCCACTGGCCAGGGGCTGGTCACTGTGTATCTGGTGCAGTGACCAGCCTGATCCCAACAGCCAGGAGGGGCACACATCCTCGCTCAACATCTGGCACACTGACCTGACCAATAGAGGCTTTTATAGAGTCTTCTGGATCCAGTCGAGATTCAGGTATGTAAGGTGAAGGAGAACAGCTCTTCCAGGAGGCCAAGTGGAGGGAACATCGCTGACTCCGAGCACAGAGGCGGGTGCCAGAGCGAGAGGACGGTTGAGGTGCGCAGGGCAGTCGGGAGCCTGGGACACAGGGTTTGAGAAAGAGAAGACAAG